ATTCTATAATTTTACCGAACGTCAGCAAAACCAACCATGTGTTAGTCAGTGTCTCAACACTTTCCAATTTCCCTTTCTTGTCCTTGACACTCAACCAAAAGAGCATTTTCTACTAAAGACGTAAATCTAAAAGCAGATCACAAATACATCCTCTCTTTTCTTTTTAGAAATTTATTTTAACAGCTGCAGTTTTTAATCCAACGTTTCTCAAACTGGGGAAAATAGTGCACTTATCGGGGGGTATTTTCAGCAGCATGAAGGCAGATCATTAGTGAGTTTTTATGACAGAAGAACAGTGTATTTTGGATAAAATCAAAATAAATTACAGTGCACATGTTGGTTTTTAATAAAAGAGCATATCACCCAGTATAAAAGTGATACATATTAGTCGGATCAATTCATTGTTGGCTTTGGTATCTACTTTGTTGACAATAAGAAAAATACAGAATATTACCAGCCTTATGCTTTGGTACTCTTATAAAACAAAAACAAAACACAGAGACAAACACCAGTCATTGAAAACAAACAACAACATTGCTCCATAGCGCAACTAGTGATCAGAATCCCCACAGGGTGCCTCTGATGAGTGGTTATACAGGCAGCCTTCAATTTGGATAATGCAAACATTACATCCTTCCAGTCACCAGGTTCTATGACAAACAACACACCTCTTCATTGCTTTGTTTCTGCTTTGTTAAAAGGCACAGTGTGCAATCTGAATGTCAACACCACAGGACTGGAACCTGCTATGACTTCCACACTGACAGTCGGGCCTTTCAGTGCTAACATCAGTTAACATGATGCTGTTAAAAGGCTTCATCAGTGGACTTTCTAAACACAGCAGAGGCCTATATTTTCCTCTGAGGACACAAATGTGATTTTCACCTGCAGGCCGTGCAAATAATTAGAGGTTGGGGCTTTAGTGTTTCAAAGACGCCGATCTGACCATTACATCACTGGAGGGTCTGTGTGATAGCAAACAGCTCGAGGGCACAAACGCATAAACACACTGCAGGAGTAAACACATCCTTAACTTGTTCTAGTTGCTTCACAGCTCACACCCACATCATCACCCATGATGCATTCAGACACTTCAAAGGCTACCATAAAACAGCAAAAGGCTGCTGACCCGCCTAACCTCAGAGCTGTGATATGTAATGCTTCCACAACCCATCCTCCAATACATAAAATCAACTTTCACTAAAGTTGAACTTAACCAGTTGTATGTTGAGGTTCTAGGCCAAGCTATACTTTCAAACCAGCCCATTTCCACTCACCAGTACGAATAGGGAACAGGTTTTCATGCAGTTGTCTCTTAAGTATATCTCTCTTTCGGTTCACACAGTGGCTGCAGTGGTCTGTATGTTGCTCTGGGTTTCCCCCTGCCGTCCGTCCCACAGCTCTTTCCAGAGCACTGACCTCAGCTGTTTTTATCATCTCCCTCTGTTCCTAAACACACCGGAACAAAATGCCGCGTCACCCCACACAATGACGACACTGCTCAGTCACAATGACCACTTTCAAAATGTAAACAGCCAGGGTGAAGACAAACAGGTGAATATAGATGGGGAGATGTACAAACAAGCACTGATGGAGACCAGCTGATTTTTTTTCCTCCCTTCACCTGCACATTATTGAGCTTTTTATAATGTTTTCTTACATAAGAGTCACTGGTGTGTGAGGTCGGAAGTCCAAGAGTCCAGTCACATGCAGGTCTGCTGCTACGCCAACATGTTGGTGTGAGAACAGAGTCACAGGACAGTTTATTGCTGCTTTATTTTACATCAGCAATTTTAACTCATATTTCATGATCAATTATTGTGTTTTTTAAATTGTTTTAATTGCAGTTAAACAGATACTCTTATGTCACATCTATCCAATTAGAGTAAAAATCATATTTTGTTCTCCTTTGCACACGTTTATTCAATCTTAAAACTCTGTTGAAATTCATACTGTGTTTCTCATGTTAGCTGCAATCTAAAGGACTTCAACATACAACTCATATGAGCGCTCGACATTTTAGAAAATACACTTGGTGCACACAGCGTTTGTGCTCTCGCTGAGAGTTAAGTGAGAAGATTGAAACAGTTCTTTAAGTACAGAGGTGAAGCAAGGAGGCCATTGGCCTATAGCTTAGCATTTAGTCCGGAAACAGGGGTAGACAGCAAACTTTCCAAAGCCAAGAACTCCACCTATCAGCACCTCTAAAAACTCACTCCTTACCATGTTATATCTCATTTGTACACAAACCGTGATCTAAAAAGTATAATTTATGGTTTTAGGGGTATTAGTGTGCCGCTTCCTCCTGCTTCCAGTGTTCATGCTAAGCTAGGCTAAGGGCACACGGCTGAACGGCCATGACTGAGTCTAAAACGGGCAATCAAAAAAAAGAAATCTGAGAGACAAGCGTACTTTTTCACCGACACACAGTCAGCAAATCACGATGTGAAGCGGGTGTGAATGTCTGATCGTCGGTTTTGGAAAGTTACAGATATGACCAGCCTCACCCTAACCCACACCCACACCCCTCCCAATCCGACCATCTGACAAGCCCTTTGGATGGTGTATAATGCCCCGTTAATCGCCTCTTGGCTCCGGCTCCTCACTTAGTCAGCCGATATGAAAGTAGTATCGATGATCTCGTGTAACTCTCACAAAGCAAATGTGTAAGTGTTTTGCCTGATCACATTTTAAGTGATCCGGAGAAGAAGCCGGTGAATACAGAAACCCCATGACAGTGCGTCACCCGGCTGCTCACCATCCATCCTGGAGACTCGAGATAAGACTATGAGGTTTATTCTTTCAGTCATTCGCTGGAACCTCAGTCACATCAGCCTGACAAAACACTAAAGAGGACCTGACAGTTTGAACTGGCAGCAGAATCACATCATCCCATTCATCACCGCCTACATCACCATAATGACTGTTGCTGGTAAAAAAGACACAAATGGCCGCCCACTTAGCTACCAGGCAACAGCTCGTACATGTTCATTATGTCTAAAACCACTATAATCAGGAGAGGACCACACGGCCCTGAACGCTACATCTATAAAACACACTGTATTGTCACTGTAACTGCTGTTTATGTGCGAGGTGACAGTTGCAGTTTGTTTGTTTTCAGCATTTATTGTATTTTAAATCCTGTCAGCACCTAAAGCCAGATGGTCGGCCTATAAGGCTTATTGTCCATGGCGACCCTGGTAATCGCACCATTTCATCACCAACACCGCAACAACAACAACAACAACAACAACAAAAAACATAAGGATGTGAAGCAGCTTCAGGACGCAAACCTTTACATGACCTTTCCAGTTTCTGTTTCAGTGGAATCACGTGCTTTTATTGGTGCAGAGGGAGACACCAGCCCCACCCCCTGAATTGTCAGAACAGTCTCATGTTAATCTAAAACATCCACTGGGTACAGGATGATGAGAGATTACAGCGGCAGAGCACGCCTTCAGCCTGAACATCCCCTCGTCCGACTCCACATCCACCCCCTCTACTTGAAAACTCTAAAACCCCCAGCGGCATCTATAAAGAAGCCACTGAGTGATTTTTAAAAAAAACCCAAAACAAAGATGCCATTTGGAGGTTTTGTTCAGACATTTTAAAGACATTTTGCAGTTAATGATGATTTCTTCTGAGTTGTGCAGTTATTACTGTTGGAAAAAAAAAAAAGAAGAATTTTCTACCATTCTCTGAAGGTTTGTCTGATCGCATTTACATTTCCGAGAAAAAGGCTGCGCCCCGAGTGAACAAGGAAACCCCGTGTCCTTGTGTCGTTTGGCTTTACATCTGCCAACCATGCATCTGGTGACAAAAGATAAGACAATGCGTCTCAGTCTGTGTGTGTGTCTGTGCAAGTAGGCTACTGTATGTCAACTACTGACTTCAAATTAAGGTCTACAGATGTGCCAACGTAAGGCCACTGGAAAGTGTCCATGCTGCACATCTGTCAGACAGGATCCAGTGAAGCATGCGGCTATCTGTCCTGACAAAATGTACCTCGTCAGTAAAACAGTAACAGCAGTAAACACTTTCAGTTTTTGATTTACTTGATCCTTAATCCACTGCAGGGCACTTAACATAGTCATATCAGCACATCAGCAGAATATGTGACATATGTCCATTATCTGCTGTTATTTTTGATATATCTCTGTTATATTTAAATATCTAATTGTACATTTTACATTATTATCTACTATTCATCTTGTTTCTAAGTATTTCATAATGACATTTTGCAGTTTTTCTTTTCTTTGTACTGCAAATTTCCCCACTGTGGGACTAATAAAGAAGAATCTTATATCTAGAGTTGAGATTATATTTTAAATGATGAAATGTTAATCAGCTGATGAATGAAGCCTCATATTTACTCTACAGATATCCAAGTATAGAGAGTGTTGCAGACTATAAAGCCCATGCAGAAAAACTTTTGTGCCATATAAACTTCACTTCACTTTCTCTCAGCAAACATCACATGAACATGCCGTGCACTGCACCTGCTACTCTTCAGGACAGATGAACTGTAACCAGCGAGCACGACAAACAGGAAAAGGAAATGAGAGTCAAGTAAATATTCTCTTGGGAATCTACGGTGCATGCAACTGCACAGAAAAAGCTCCTTAAAGCACAATTTGCTGAGAATAAAGACAATGTGAACACCTGAGACAACGTGAACTGCAGCTGGAACCTGTATTTCTAGTATCTCCTCACAAGACCTCCAGGGCAAGAGCCTGGAATTACAGAAGCATCTTTTAACAATAACCTTTTCCTGTTACAGGAGGCCAAGCAGACCGACGCACAAAAAAACAAAAAGAAAAAAGAAAATCCAAGACTGTACTCTGCAAAAGGACTTTCCCCAAATCAACACCGGTACAGCTTCTCCCTTCGTTTAAATCATATATATTTCCTACTTCCTTTCCACTTGTCATTTTTCCAACTCTTACTCACTATTTCCAACCTCCCTCTCTCCATCTTTAAATCCCAAACATCCCACTTACTTCAACTCCATGGCTTCTCTCCTGGCCTCTCTCTTCTCTGGGGGTGAAAACAACACTGCTCTCAGTCACCTAATCCTCCTCATCTCTGATATAAGTGTAGTGTGTGCAGTGGGCAGAGAGGGGAACGCATGTGAGAGGCCTGAGCTGCTGTTACAATAATCCAAACAGACTGACAGGGTGCCACCGGGCGAGCGGAGATGGGGGGGGGGGCGCCAGTGGTGTAGAGGAAAAGAACTGACCAATCAGAGGGTTTTTAGTGAAGCCAGCGAGGGGTTGGGCTTAAGGCTTGTGCTGCTCTTTAACCCCCGGTGAGGGCAATAGTCCCAGAGGAGAGATAGATAAGGAGTGACGGAGGACGGGCGACAGAGAGAGAAGAGAGAGGGAAACAGGCCAACAGAAGCCAAATTATTTCAGATGTCTGACTTGGTATGACAGGATACTGTCTGTTACATGCTACGTACCTTTTATCATTTACTGTAAAAAGAAAAAATACTTTTAAATCAGGTGGATAAAGCTGAACTCTTTCCCCATGTGCACAATTTTATCTCCATTTCCCAGAAAGGCCCCAAGTGTACATGAGCTCTACTTTTCTCTGTCACAAGCTGGAATGACATCATTTTTTGAAGACATGAGTGCACTGAAGCAAAGTAAACAAGACAAAGACTATTCAACAGAACCAAAGACTACAACGAGCAAAAGAAGAAGTAATTGACCAACATATCACCACAAATGAGGGCTGACACACAAAACTAACTTCTCTCACTGGTTTGTGCTCTAATAAACATAACTTTAGTTTTTAAACTCTTGCTACTATTGCAGACACAAAACAATGTTTTTCATGACACTAAACTCTGAGGAATGAGAGAAATATTAATATCCTCGCAGCGCGGCTCTGGAGATGGCAAGGCTGGTTGGTTTAGACTGAAATATGTGACTGACTTTGATAATACTCTGACTTTTCCTCTAGCGCCACCATGAGGTTGACAGTTTTTGTTTTTTTAAGTGAAACATCTTGACAACTACTGATTGGATGCTATGAAATTTGATCCATTCATGTTCCACACAGGATGATTTGCCATCATCTGGATACATTTCCGTTGGTACCAAAAAGAACTGAGGTTCGGGCCTTATTTACAGCTCTGTGTGTGTTGCGTTATATTAGTGTCTCTTTATGGAAATCTTATAGACCTCAGTTGTATCTCAGTACATGAGAGTAAAATAACCATCCTGTTCCGACACTTCCCGTCATTGTTGTTTCATATTGAACATTTCCACCTTGGCAGAAAAACACTGGTTGTTCCATAACAACTAAATCACTCATACCGTCTTTTCAGACTGCACACACCCACCCACACACTTACACACACTTACCTACACACACACACACACACACACACACCTACACTACATAGCACAGACGTATATGCCCCTAGAGAGTTTCCCCATCTCTTGAAAGCTTTAATTTTATTTGCAGACTGCAAACAATGTTTGTAGTAATTATCCAAATGCATCTGTTTCCCCCCTGTACATCCACTCCTACTTAACTGAATTACTTTCAGCACAGAGAGCGGCTCTATATGGAGAGGGGAATACTTTTCATCTTAGTGTTATTTAATGTGACAATGTCATTAGTATAACCAAGTAAAAGGAAACCAGCTGACAAAATCTACTACTGTGCATTTTGGAGCTCTATATAAACACAACTATAAAACAATGTAAACAGGTGTGAACGGTTGGTTAAGTAATGAAGATAAAATATCTGAAAAGCAAATGTGACACAGCTCATGACATTTCATGCTAAAGCTAACAAACCAGTCAGTCCGTGCAGACGTCTGACCGACCACCAGTTTGACTGCGTGTCAGAGGATAATTAAAGGGAGTCCAATAATTAACGGTGGCAGACTCTGCAGAAAATGAGGATCTGAACCCCAGAAAAGCACAACAACAATATCAGATTGTTAGGGCTACTTTAACTGTTGCCTCCCTCTGTCCCTGGAGTAAACAAAACAAAGACAATTTGCTTGACCTAGATGCAAAAGAATGGAAAGCGATGGAGCACGGAATAATCTGAAACGCAAAGACACACACTGTGTACACAGAGACCGCTTGCTATGTCCTACCTGAGGTCTTTGTGTTTGTTTTTTCACTCTGCATTATTCTCAAAAGAAACTACTGAGCTGAAAGAAAGCATTGAAAATGACAGATTTATGGACCACTGACCTGTAAATTACACATTTCCTTTAATTCAAATATAAAAGTCCAGAATCGTTTAGGCTATACACTAACAACCAGCGACTGGGCTGTCAGTCCATTTTTATGCTTATGTTTATTATTTAGGTGGGTGATGTTCCTTTTGTGCAATGCTGATATCCCCTGCTGGTTGGAGCATGATATACACTTCACACGCTGACAGTGTGATAGTCATAAGACAGGGGAAAGGATCGTCCACCATTACCTCTCTGTAACACACACTGATTCAACAGGTCCCTCCCTGTAATCATCTAGGAATCTATGTGTTGTCTTAACGTATGCACGTGGATTGTATTTGCAGCAAGGTGAAACGTATTTATTTTACTGGGAGACTGAGGTTGTTTGGAGCACACGGATGTATTTTCATACTATTTTTCCAACCTCTATTACAGTGATATGTAGAATTGTGGTGATTAGTTGATAAGCCGATTGAAAGAGAATTGATAAGATGCTGTTTTTATAATCCATTGATCATCAATCATAATTTAAAAAAATAAAAAATAAAAAATTCTCAATTGTGAAGATTTGCTTCTTTTCCTGGTCTTACATGACCGAATATCACTTCTAAAACAAGACATTTGATGACGTCACCTTGAACTCTGGGATACAGTGATTGACATTTTTCACCATTTTCTGATGTTTTATTGACCAATCGATTAATGAATTAATGGAGAAAAATAATCAGCAGATAACTTGATAATGAAAGTAAATGTTAATTCAATTTAATGGTAGTTTTTTGTAATATATTGCAGCTTTCTCTCTGTTCAGTTTAAAGACAGATTATCTTGACTGCTACAAACATGCTCAGAGATTGTGGATCAAACACTTTTGGATGTTGTGGTAATATTACGTCAGAGCCTTCTCATGTTTTACTTTGGGGAAACTAGCTTCTGAAGATTCAGAGTCCCACAGGTTGAGCTTAAAAGATTACAAACTCTTTCATTCCTCAATCCATCAGATTGTTAAATCAGACAGTGGGTTTCCAGGAGGCCAGGAGTGTGTCAACCTGTATATGACGGACACAAGATACGGCACACAGGCTCAACACATATTACAGACATACACAAACAATAAAACTGAATACAATGCAGCTGTTTAATAATAATATTATGCTTTTTTTTGTTAAATGTCATAATATACGTGGAACAGAAAATGATGGATGTGAGACAAATTTCGAAGAAATTCAAAAAGAATTTCAGGAGGAACAATGAAGCGCCACCAAGTCCGATCCAGTCAATCTTCAAAATAAAGCTTTGTAACCCTGGCCTCTGCCCAAGAGTTTAAACTGATCAACAAATTCATCATCAACGATAACTGACGTTATCAAGCAGTCATGTAAAACATTTGTTGGTTCCAGCTTCTAAAAACATGAGGAGTTCCTGCTTTTCTGTTTTACGTCGTTGTAAATTGAACATTTTTGGGTTTTGACCTGCTGACTGGACAAAACAAGCACATTTTAACAATAATGGACGGGTTACTCAGATCAATCCAGGATCAAAATAATCATTAGTTGCAGCTATACTGTTTACATTATATTATTGTACTGTACGGGGAATTTTCACAATGACTGTACATTACACATGAACTAATAGCAGGCTCATTGATGGAGTCCACAGCCCTAACGTCCATCTTGTTATGCCCCTTCACACACACAGACACTGTGACTTCTCCAGATCCTTTACACTCTCAGGTGTTGCTCGGTTAAGAGTCACTAAACTGGCTGATGTCCAGTGCTAATCAGTTAGCTGTAACCAGACAGACGCTGTGCCGCTGCGGTCGAGAACCAGCAGAGCTCATTGATCCTGGAGGTCACAGAGTCGCAGCGCAACAGTTCTGAATAGCAAGCCTCCAGGGCCTTCAGTCGCTGGACCAGAAAAGCATCAATATCAACACCAGTCAACATTGGCAAGGGAAAAAGATTTCAATCTTTATCTGTGTAATCAAGTGCTAGAGATACAGTAACATTAAAAATCAATAGATGTTTGGATTTGGATTGGTCAGCTATTCAGCTAAAATATTACAGTATTTTTATATCATCTGGGTGTATTCTCCCACTCCAACTTTCTAACTTGTATTTCTTTAGTGACATTCACAGTACTACTTGTTTTCTGTGCATTAGACATCAAAGCTTTGAATTTTGACATGAATATCTAAAAAAAAAAGTGTCGCACAAATTAGAGATCTGAAGATGTAATTTAGGGATAAAAATAGTTTTAGCATTGCTGCAACATTTGCTTTATTTGGAGAACCTGTACAATATAAAGGAATCCAAAAGAACAGTCCTACAATAAATCCTGTCAAAGACTGAGCATCGCTTGTAAACTTTCAATACTAGTACCAACATGATGCCTGAGTTTTGGGACTGCTACAAATTTTTTTTATTTTTTTAAAACTTTGAGAAATATGAACTTGTTTTTTCCACAAAACCCTTAAGAAGTCAAAGTTCTCTGATATGTACTGCACAGGAACTTTGACTAAAGTCTAAAATTAGAAAAGAAAAAAATCAAAAACTATCCAATCAGTGAAGAAGAATATAATTTGAAAAAACAATATTTGAAAACACATGAACACATGTCTGTCAACATTTCTGGAGCTTATAAAGTTTAGTTTTTGTTGACAATATGTCTGAGTAAATTTTGCAGGCCACAGTTACAGAAGGGTGTTTCTAATATTTTGAAATTGAATTAAACGGTATAGGTTTTTGCAAAGCTGTTGTACCCGGTTGCATAAGACTGCACATTTACAGCTCAGCGTATATGTTCAATCAACCAGCAGTGAGTCTGCACTTTACTGAGCAGCCTTGATGCATGGTGTGCAGTGTGCATTGTGACATGCCAGCTAACAACTGTATGTGATGTTGAGGTTAAGCAGAACACTAAACTCCTTCACAGCA